CACTGCCTGCAAAGTTAGCCATTGCCTGAGGCCACCGAGCAGTAACTACAGAGAGATCTACAGATTCCTCCTCTTTGTTTGGGGTTTGGAGGTGCCCAGATGAGGTGCAGCTGTGAAGCAATGCAGGCTGCTGATGAGCCTTAGGCCTTCTTTTGGAAGCTCTGGGGTTCTCTGACCCAGCTGCAGTTTGACAGGTTTTTAGGTGGAGAAAGGCCAGGCCATTCATATGCAAAAGTCTCTGAGTGCAGCTTGGGTGGGGTTGTAAATTGGGTGGGGTGTGGTCTCCGGGAACCCCCAGGTGGAGCAAACAGCAATGGTTGCCCTTTGGCCCTGCCCTGGATAGGTCCCTGGGTCTCTGTGTCCTGTGGCCCCGTGCAGGAACAATGACCTCTGTAAGCACCTCTGTGAGAAAGCCACCCTCATGTTCTGGCCGGATGCCAGACCATCCAGTTTCTCTCCATATGGATCTGAGTCCCCAGATTCTCACCCAGAACTGAAGTTCAGAGCAATCGGGAGCTTGTATCTCCCTCCTGATTGAAAAAGACCACAGTGTACCCAGTTGCCAGCCCCGTTCTCATGCCTCCGTACCTCCACACTTTCACACCTCTGCACCTCCTACTGGACTCAATGCGCTTTTCTCTTTCCTTCTAGTTGTAGAATTTCCACTCAGCCAGCCTTCCCGTGGTTCTGGATGATATTCATTTTATCTTTTAGTTGTAGTTTTAATGTGGTTGTGCATGGCAGCAAGTCCAGGTGTTTACCTATGGTGCCATCTTGGTTGTCTCTCTCAGATTTGTCCTTTATATATTTTAGATATGTGGTTTAGAAATTATTCCACTTGAAAATAATTTCCAATACTCCATTTTATTTATGTAATTCTAATGTGCCACAATGATGCAAGATGGTAAAAATATCAGAAACTCTGTACTGGGTGTTGGGGTGGGTGGGCATATGGAACCATATGAATTATTTGTTCAATTCTGTAAAATTAAAACTGTACTAAAAAATAAAGCATATTACTTATTTTTAAAGTCTGAGTCTCCTTCATCCTCATTTTACAATGAGCACAAGGAGTTAGGTTATCTTTTTATATTTTTCCATGTTTAAAATTTATGATTTCTCAATTTTAAATGTACTGTATTGCTCACTTTTACCGTATACTAAAAATTGGAATGCTGCAGAGATTAGTATGTTCTCTGAGCAAAAATGACACAAATTCATGAAGTATTCCATTTGAAAAATATATCTATACTTTACTTCTTCTACATCCTGCCTTGCATGGCTTCCCCCACTAACAACCTGCAACAGAGTGGTAGATTTGTTACAACTGATGAACCTACATTGCACCCAAAGTTCATAGTTTACATTAGGGTTCACTCCTGGACCCTATAGTTCTATAGGTTCAACAAATGTATAATGTATCCAGTACTAGAATATCATAGAATAGTTTCACTACCCTAAAATTCCTCTGTGCTCCCCTTACTTGTCTCTTTTTCCCCTAACCAATCAGAGATCTTTGTGGTGCTGAAATATTTCTGTATCTGGATTTTGGTGGTGGCTACACAAATCTATACATGTGATAAAATGACAGAACTATATACACACATTATACTAATTTCAATTTTCAGATTTTGATGTACAATTTAGATATAATCATTAGGGGAAACCACTGAAGGTACTCTCTGTACTTTGTTTACAACTTCTTGTAATTTGATTATCCTATCTACACTAATAAAAGAGAAAAATGGTAATTGGCGTACGACGCTACCCTTTTCATTGGCTAATCAGGGCTATATGCAAATTAACTGCCAACTCAGATGGCAGTTAACTGCCACAAAGATGGCGGTTAATTTGCATATGTAGGCACAATGCAGGGAGGCGAAAGGGAAAGCAGGAAGAAGCCCC